AGACCATATTGGATTGGATTATTCTTGTGTTTCACTCTGCATGTTTTACTTACCGAATAATAAGATTACTCAAACATCCACAGTCAATCATACTTTGGAAGTAAGTAATGAGGTAAGACTGTCATGAATCCGACTATAGATTGTCTAAGCGTTTAGACATAGCACAAGTTTGCTACAGTGTTCATGATTACTCCTGTAATAAGATTTGAGTATTGGATTAAACCCACGCTCATCTGAATCAATTCATGGATTTCATCACGAGTGATTGTGAGACGATAATATCTTATATTCTTGAAACCAGGACATGTGAGTTAGTTTACAAGTCGGTTGCACATTGATAATATGTAAACGCACCAGTAACTTGGTGTTACAAGTCGGTTGCACATTGAAACCAGGACATGTGAGTTAGTTTACAAGTCGGTTGCACATTGATAATATGTAAACGCACCAGTAACTTGGTGTTATAAAACGTATTGTTGTGTGTGATTTGATGAGTAAATTGAGCTAGCATATGAGTCGAAGTTTATCCGTTCCTTTTACCCTAAGAAGGATAAAAGCGATATTTGTTGGCCCGTCGATGATTTAGTGATGGCACCCTAAGCGCTTGGCCAAGTCTGGACTGATTTGATTTGTTCAATTAGTAAATCACCATAAATCGGTAATCGGGAAACAGAACTTAGACAAAGAGAATGATTATAATCCATGTCTCATGTCTATAGGATATCTTGTAGAATGGAGGAATATTTGATCCCTTATCTAATGGACGCGTCATAGTTCGACAACGGCTTTTGAGAGCTACGATTGCTAATCAGATTTTGAAGTTGCATTGACAGTTATAGTTATTAGACTTATCCAAGTAGGAGACTGTTGGATTAGGTGTCTAAGCCCATAACTATAATTGGTATGTACTTGACCCTGATTGTACCATGGTCCATTTTGGGTTGCATTCACTAGAACAATTTGATAGGATGGATATTTGAGAAAGAGGTTATTTGTGATTTATTAATATATTATAAGTATAATATATTAATTAAGAAATCATATTATTTAATTAATATTGATCAAGAATTAATTTGGAATTAATTTAGTAATCAAAAGACACTGATTAAATTAACGGGGACTGATTATGTAAATCAGTGATACATATGGTTTGGGCTAATGATCCATGATTGATTTGTGATGGTCTAAGCTTATGAGATAGTCCATGAAGTGTTAGTCCAAATCAATTGTTGGATCATAAGCCTAAGTGTAAGAATTAGGGTTTACAAGTGACTCTTGGAATTCTACACTATAAATGTAACCCCTAAACCCTAAAATCGACACTTGTGCATTCCAAGAAGAAGCTATCCGATTTTGGTGCCTCCTACTCTCTCTCACATGGTCCTCCATTTGTTCATGATGTTTTGTGAACCATTTGAGGTGCTAAGCTCTCATAAGGCCAAGTTCTACAAGCTACAACAAAGAGGTAATCATCTTACTTGGTTTTATGTTTCAAATATCAAAGTTTGTATGCTAGTTGTAGGTTTCATGCTTTGGATAATTTTATTGCATGTATAATTTGAGAAAACTTAGATCCAAATCATTAGGGTTGTATGTGCACCATAGGGATGTTAGAGTACATAAAACCCATCAGTAGTGATCTGTTAGATTTGTATGATTATCTATTATATTTGTTGGTTATATGTTTATATGTTGCATATGTCGACATAGTGCAGTTGGGTTGAGGCAATAATGCTCTGTACGGAAGGCAACAAACCCGAAAGCAATCTAAATATAAGCTATGGGCCAGAAAGGCAAACCAGAATTATATTGTGGGCTCGAGAGCAAGCATGATATAAGTTGTGGACTGGAAAGGCAAGTCGGACTTATATTGTGGGCTCGAGAGCAAGCCAGACATAAGCTGTGGTCCGGTAAGGCAAGCCAGACTTACGTTATGGGCTCGCGAGCAATCCAAACATGAGTTGTGGACCAGGAAGGCAAGCCAGACTCATGTTGTAGGCTTAGGGGTAATCCAGTCCGATGGTTGTGGACCCGAGGGTATTCCAGTCCGATGACTGATTGATCCCAGTATGCATGATTGTATATGTTATATGTTGTGTGGTGGTACTTTGGGGGAACTCACTAAGCTTTGGCTTACAATTTAAGTTTATTGTTTTAGGTACTTAAGATGACCGGGGAAAAGAAAAGATGTGATCGTACACATCCTTCGTTAACATGTTTTTGGAGTTATTATGATACATTGGTTTTGGAATAATTGTACTTGATCTTGGGTTTTATTACTTGGGTTTGATTGAAAACAATGATTTATCTTCAATTAAAAAATCAAAATTTTACTGTGATTTTGGGAAGTTACAATAATGGAGACAGATGATGAGGAAATTGATACCAAGGGTCTTGCATTAACTTATCCTTCGACATATCATCGATATTTCTACTAAGGAAGATATGGACAATATGATGCATGAAAACATACATTTTTCACCACGAAGGGATGCCTCTGTCAAATCAAATGTCAATGAGACAAGAAACCTAGATGTCATTATACACACATCTAATGTGGATACAAACATCATAAATAATAAAACACCTTCAACTTCTACTCTTGAGTCGACCACAGTTATCCCACCGGAAGGTTCTACTACCAAGTCCAATATGGAGGAAGGTAGATCTTCATACATCCCTGAGAACTTATCTAATAAGGTCTCAAATGTCAATATAGGTGAGAGTCCTCATCCTTCGACAGTTCCACCACCACCATCATCATCATTACCAACTTCGACTATTCAAGCTACAACTGTTCCTTTGAACTCACCAACGTTTGAAGGTATCTTACAACAACTCATTACTTCTCTATTTTCTTCTCTTTCCACAAATAATACTATCAACATTGAAGAAGAAGAATGTGTTAGAGTTTGTTGATCTAGACTTTGACTATGAGGATGAGAAAGTCGAAGATCATGCTATTATGTCTGGCAAGCAGTATAAGAAACTCAATTCAAAGCTTAACATGATTCTTCAATTTTTGAATGATACTGCTGGTACGAAGAAAGTTTGGATAACTAGTAATTTTAAAGGGTATAACCGACATAAAATTAACTAGTTAAGGATTCATACTTATAAAGAAAGTTTGGATAACTAGGAATGTTAAAGGATATAAAAGAAAAAAAAATAGAATTTTATTAAGTGGATTGATATTAAAAAAAACGAAATGAGCTTCCAGTAAATAAAATAAACCTATGTTGGATAGTAGCATACATTAATATAAATAAAAAAATCAATCATAATAATAATAAATTAGGATTTTTATTTATTTTAAACAAAACAAATCAATCATACATTAAAAGTTTAGAAATAAAATTATATTAACTTAATAAAATAATAGACTTCTAAAAAATAAATTTTTGAAAATTAAAAGTATAAATAAAATTTTGAAACTAAAAGTATAAATTGAAAGACTATAAATGAAAATGTATTAAAATTTTATATATATGTTAAAAGGAGAAAGATGTCAACGTGCCAATCTTTTTAATTATTATTAAAACAATAAAGATATAAACGTTGAAAGTATAAATTGAAACTCTTAATTAAGATAAGGGGGTAAAACTTGAATATTTTAAATATAAACCAAAGTCTGTTTTGAAACTTTTAATTAAATTGATGGGCCATAGTTGAATATTTGTAATGCATGTAATCAAATCAATAGTTCACTTCATTGTATATTTAGATTTTTTATTTGGGTTTTCTATAAGTACCTCGTTCCTTTTCCAATTTCACCACTTGATTTTTGTTGTTTTTTTTTCCTATTTTTTTTTGTTGTTTTTAATTCTTTTTTAATTATTATTATTATTATTATAAATTTCGTACAAAATTTTAACATTCGGACGGCATTATAAATTCAAACGGCTATATAAAATCGGTTTTTAAATATTTTTTATATTTTAATTACGGACAAAAAAGTCGTTTGAATTTTATAATGTCGTGCGAATTTATAATGTTTACGGAATTTTAAAATGTCATCCGAAATTTAAAATGTTGTCCGAATTTTTTTTGATTATTGAAATTTATAATAATAATAATAATAAAAGAAAAAAAAATCAAAAACAAAAAGGAAAAAAAAGAAAAAGAAAAGAAAAAGAAAAAAATAATGTCAAATTAAAAGTAAAAAATTGATTTGATTGATGTTAAGGAGTAAAATTGGTTAAGGATGGTACTTATAGCACAACCCTTTTCATTTTTATTCGATAGAATTTCCCACAAATAATTGGTGTTGAGATCTCTACCCTTTAAGATTGATGGTGAAAGGACGGTTGACGTTTCTTTAAGGTATTCTCTTTTTTGGATTTTGTAGGCTGTCAACTTTTTCTGGCAGCCATTGCCGAATAAAAACCTTGTTTACAGTACCCGAGAAACTCCAATAGCCATTGCCCACATGCTTTCTTTACACCTGCCCCGATATTATCAAGAATAAGCACTTCAAATTCGAACCAATTTGCAAAGGAAAATATTCCAATCCCTGGCACATTCATGTCAATCATTACCTCCGCATTGTAGATAGAATCAAATCTCCTTATTTTTGTTCTCTTTTGCTTTAAATTCTTTCAGAATTTTGGATTTTTAGGAATCATTTTAAGAATCGTTATGGCCGATTTACGCTTGCATTGCACACAACGTTATCCCACTTTTTATAATGGTATCTTTCTTTTATTTGGATGTTACTATTTAAGCACACGCAATCAACCAACCATTATCTTAATTTCATTTCTTTTTCAAGATCAATTAATTAGAGCCCTTTTGAAAGCAGTCTTCTCACCTGGGTAGTTTCTATATTCCCTTTTAAAACCACCTTTTTCTAAAAACACCACTCACCTTGTAAAAATTTGATCTTTAACATTTGAAGTGGGTGTCCCCCAAGATTAAAAACCTTGAGTACTTTTCAGTTTTAACAATTTGAATCGAGTTGTACGAGTAGTACTGTGGGAGAAAGACCGGTTTAAATAAAGATGGCTGCTTTAACTGATGAAGGATCACGTCATCCACAACATGTAGAGGTTGTCCCATTCAAGACATCCGGAGTCTCTCTAAAAGTCGTCTTACTACATGGAAACCTGGATATATGCGTGAAAGAAGCCAACAAACTCCCAAACTTGGATGCATTCAATAGAAAATTCACCCCTCTTTCGGGTACAAGTGATCCATATGTAACCATATCTGTAGCCAACGCTGTAATCGGAAGAACTTTTGTGATGAACAACAGTGAAAACCCTGTTTGGATGCAACATTTCTATGTTCCAGTAGCACACAATACCACCGAAGTGTTATTTGTTGTTAAAGACAGTGATGTCGTGGGTACTCAACTTATAGGAGCAGTTGGGATTCCAGCTGAACACTTGGTTGCTAACTCTGTCGTCAAAGGCACTTTCCCGATTTTGAATGCAAGTGGTCAGCCATGCAAACCTGGTGCCATGTTAACTCTATCCATCAAATACACACCGGTGGACAAAATGGTCATTTACCGTGATGGAGTAGGGTCAGATCCGGAATTTAAAGGCGTCCCAGGAACGTATTTTCCATTAAGAAGAGGAGGAAAAGTTACTCTTTATCAAGATGCTCATGTCGATGGAAGCCTCCCAAATTTGAAACTTGATCGTGGTTTAAGATTTATACAAGAAGATTGTTGGCGTGATATTTGTGATGCAATCAGACAAGCACGTCGTTTGATTTACATCACAGGGTGGTCGATCTTTCATAAAGTTCAACTTGTGAGATATGGTGCAAAAGCAAGAGATAGTATTTTAGGAGATCTTTTGAAAAGTAAGTCGGATGAAGGTGTCAGAGTGTTGCTTCTTGTATGGGATGACCCCACTTCAAAAAGCTATTTTGGATATAAAACGGTAAAACATATATAAACTCCTCTTCTTTTTTGCTACTATTAACACCAACTTAATTTATAACCATTTCAATAAGGGTAATTATATAATAGTAGTTTACTTTTGTAAAATGTAGGAAGGGGTTATGCAAACTCATGATGAAGAAACTCGTGCGTTTTTCAAGAATTCATCTGTTCAAGTTTTACTTTGTCCTCGTTCTATAGCAAAGGGTAGCTGGGTCAAGAAGGTTGGATTTCAATTGGGAAAAGAAAAATCTTTATTTTTTTTTTTAGTATTCAAGTCTGAAAATTTGAAGTTTGAATACAGGATGCTGAAACCATTTATAGCCATCATCAAAAGACGGTTATAGTGGATGCTGATGCTGGTATCAAAAGAAGGATCATGGCATTTGTTGGAGGTCTTGATTTATGTGTGGGGCGTTATGACACTCCAGAACATTCTCTTTTTAGTACATTACACACACTGCATAAAGACGATTATCACAATCCAAACTATACAGTAAGCAAGCATTTTATTTTATTAATTACTTGTTATATATGATAGGAGTATATCATTATCTTTTTGAAATGTGATATGTTTTTATGTTGTTTATCAGGGGACCACAACAGGGTGTCCAAGAGAACCATGGCATGATTTGCATTGCAGGATTGAAGGTCCAGCAGCATATGATGTACTCCAAAACTTTGAGGAGAGATGGTTGAGAGCTTCAAAGCCACGTGGCCTTTCAATGACCAAATTTTTTGATGTGTTACTAAAAGTTGACAAGATTCCAGACATTTTAGGTGTAACTGATGCTCGTTACACTAGTGAGAAAGATCCAGAAGGTTGGCATATCCAGGTAATTATCAAACACAATAAAACTGTCTATATATGTACATCTTAATTTTTACTAAATGAGCATTGATTTCTTTACTATTTTTTTAATCGTCTTCTTTATGTGTAGGTGTTTCGTTCAATTGATTCGAACTCTGTTAAAGGTATAGGTTTCCCAAAAGACCCCAAAGATGCTAAAAACAAGGTAATATTATATTTGGTTTCAAGTTTCTTCCATTTATACATTTTTGGGAATGAATGAATAGCTGATTTTGTTAAATTAACATGTGTAACAGAATTTAATATGTGGGAAAAATGTGCTCATAGACATGAGTATACATACTGCATATGTGAAGGCCATTCGTACTGCTCAACATTTTATCTATATTGAAAATCAGTACTTTCTTGGTTCTTCATATAACTGGGCTAACAACAAAAGCTTAGGTAAAAAATAAAATAAATAAATAACATCTTATGGTAAAAGAAATGATTATAATATGATCTGAGGTGATTTAAATGAACTCTTGTACATGTGGTTTTTAGGTGCAAACAATTTGATACCAATGGAAATAGCTCTTAAAATCGCGAATAAAATCCGAGCAAATGAGAGGTTTGCTGTATATATTGTGATTCCAATGTGGCCTGAGGGAAATCCTACGAATTCCTCTACTCAACGGATTCTTTTTTGGCAGGGTTGATTAATTGAAAATTATTATACATCTAGAGAGATTATATATATACATATAGATATTAATTAAGTATAAAAATATAAATAACTTGGGATTGAAATCAAATCTTCATCGCAGCATCAAACAATGCAAATGATGTATGACATTATTTACAAGGCTTTACTAGAAACGGGGCTCCAAAACGAATACGAACCACAAGATTACTTAAACTTTTTCTGCCTTGGCACCCGAGAGTCATCTAAATACGCACCTGTCTCTAATGGGAAAGTTTCATTTTCCCCAAATACCCCTCAAGTACACGTACTCTCCTTTTTCCCTTACATTTTCTTGATTTTCTTGATTTTTCTAATTAACATGTCTTTTTGATGATCTAGGCGCTTAGCATCACAAACAGGCGTTTCAAGATCCATGTAAATTCGAAAG